GTAATTGGATTCTTTTGGCTAATGATATACGAACGGGAACTATAAACCCCAAAATTACAGACCCCTTACTGAAAGAAATTAGTCATGGACATTCTAAAACCTAATCCTCGGCTTACAGATTTTATTAAATTTGAATGCAGCCAAGGAACATGGGAAGGAATTATTGCCAGATTGTGGCCAAACATCAAGTACATTAAAATTATTGTGACTGGAAGCATGGCCCAATACATTCTCATGCTTAATCACTACAGCAATGGCCTCCCAATATTTTGTGACTTTTATGGTTCCTTAGAGAGCTTCTTTGGCCTAAACTTAAATCCATTGTGTAAGCTAGATGAAATCTCCTACACTTTTATCCCCACCATTGCCTATTTCGAGTTCTTGCCAGTTGACGGGGCGCAATTGCTAATGGGAAAGTCGGCCAACAATTAGTTGATCTTGTTGATGTTAATTTGGTTTTTATTTTCATGTAATATTAATGTGTATATGGATTGAATAACCTTTATTTTGCATGTAAACTAACAACCTTCTTGTAAGTGTAGGCCTCTATCGATACTTCATGGGTAAAGCCCTAGAATTTAGGTACGTGTATACAACATTAACATAAAATGAAATTAATTAATGCAAAAAAAAACATGAAATAGAATTGATTGACTATTGGATATCAAGTTATATTTTTTCTCTTTTTTAGTAGAACAATTTGGAGATATCAGGGGTCGAGTCTCCGACTTCGAGGAAATGAATACTTACCAATTACGGCTTAGTTGGGTTATGAAATTTCATGTAGAATAGTAACTTTATTTGATATATAGATGTGGGAAAAGTTATAAAAAACTTAATTAAAGTGATATTTTAAATTTGAAAAATCTCATTAATAAGCTACTGTTTTTTTTTTCTTTGCCTTCCATAAACTATTTCTCCGATTGGATTAGAAATAGTAATATGTGGTAGGCTCTGTTTGAATTTCAACTTGTCGTTATGGTGATGTTGTGCTTCCCCCAACTGCACTAGAAGAAGCTTTTTAATTGCACCATCATCTGTTTTTCTTTTCCTTTTTTCCTTGGGTAACCAAATCATAAAGGAAAGACACAATTTAAGCAACAAAAATAAATCTCTCCGAAAGGGCAGTTCATTAGACCAACTAAATCCTCTTATGTCTCAGCTGAAATTGGTAATCTTTGCCTACTTTTTGGACATTCCATCACTGCTCCTCTGTGTAACCCAATCTGCCGACATCAGAACATTGTTCGAAAGGTACATTTCATGCTATATTTACATCACCCTAAGTTTACATGTCTTATAGACTTTCGGTCTGACACGACCATATAAAATAAAAGATTTAATTTCTTCTGTTATTCCCTCTCTATGTCATATTAACAAAGCATGTGTTGGCCTGAACTAAGGGATAAAATTTGGAGATGTGTGGTTGGTGATGGACAATTTTGGCCTTCACTGTCACAAATTAATTATCAATCCTTTTCCAAGCACCAACTTATCTACTCAAGATTACCCATAAAATAAATTTTCTTTATAATATATTGTGACACACTAATCTCTCTGTCTCTCTCTCATGCTAGCAAAATCAAAGTGTACTTGAATTGATAAGATATGTGCAATTATTGATATCCATGCACTTGAAAGTGCTTTTACACACACAGGACATAGAATAAATTAATCTGGAAAAAAATCAAGGCGAATGGAGAAATGACTTAAGGGGCACATCATTAAAGCAATGGAGAAAAAAAGAACGTACATTTGCATGAATTATATGTATACCTATAAAGTAAAAATATATGATTTTTAAGACAGATCAAACATGTGTCTAAATCTTATTGGATCTGACTATATACAAGTCACCATCAACTAGTGAATTTTGTAGAAAATAAAATGGGAAATCTATTTTCATTCTCCTTCCTTTCAAACAATTATCACCCATATCTAACAAAATGATACAATCAGATCCTATTTTACATCAATTGATTATAAATAGAATATTTACCTAATCTGTAAATATTTGATTGCAAATTCTTCTCCCTTAGGATGCTCACCTCAACGCCCTCCCCATCAAGTTGGTGAATATTTCATGTCCAACTTGTTAAGTGAGCTTTGAAAAACTTTTCTAGATACAGCCTTTGTTAGAACATCTACTAGTTGATCCTTTGATTGCTCACGTTAACAAATATAGCATCTGATATTTTAATTAATCAAGTTTATTACAATAACTTTTTAATATTTCATTTTTTATCTCTTTACTTGAACCAAGAGATTAAAGCCACGCCATTCCTATCTAAAATATGAAATTATATATCATATACTATAAAGAATCCTGACATTAGAGAGCTACCAAAAAATATTGATGTAAAAGTTTGAACAGATAGCTCCCTACTTTGTAAATTTACTGTATTTTATCTTTTGAAATTTTTTTAACATCTTCTTGAAAGTAGCTACTAATGAATTTCTTTGATGTGTTTCAAAATTTTATTTGGGCGTGGCCAGGAAATTAAATGGGAAATCTAGAACAATTTTGATCATTGGGAGAGACAACTTAGTATAACTTTGGACACATCGGTTAATTGCATTTAAAAATTAAAATATATATATATATATATAAATTAAGTGAAACCTGAAAATATATGTGATGGTAAAAAACTTCGCAGCTGGTACAATGTAGAAAAGTTTTGTTAAAACACAATTTCGATGCCTGCATTGATGAAAAATTGTGTGTCGAAGATTGTTGAGATATGGATAAATGAATTAAGTTTAAGCAACCCAACAACTTTAAGTTTTTGGGTTGAATGGTGGTTTATTCTCTTAAGAAATATCGCTTAAAACCATCTTAGGGTCCTCATTTTATCTTTTTCACCTTTCTTCTTTCACACGATAGATTAAATAAAGGCGTGTTCTACAAATAAGTTTTAAAATGTAAAAGCCAGCTATAAAAATAATTTTTAAAATGTAAAGATGAAAAAGGCGGGCTAATTTATGAGTAATTCTCAAGGTAGGTGGGATTACCTCTCCCTCTTTCATAGTTTCTTTGGACCAATGAACCACTCATGATAATTACTTTTGAATCTAATTTAACACATGGTATTCAAATCAGAAAAGCATTTGTATTCATCGACCTTATGTAATATTATTTTCTCTCTATTTCATATACAAAAAGTTTGGATTTTATGCTAACTTTCAAGCTCACACATGAAGAGGAGGGTTGAGAATACCTAGATTTAACTTATATTTATTTTCTAGAAATCATTAGTTATTCAAATGATCATTTTCTACTCGGATTAATGAAATTGCAACCCACAGTTTGCAATATAAAACTAACTAGCCTAAACGATAGAGATTTATTAAAAAGAACAAAAGGAAGATGAGGAAGAATAATAATTAATTAATAAGAGTGAGATAATATAAATAAATGAAAGGAGTTGACTTTGGGGTCCCATCCCGAGTTTGGCTCGGCCTGTCTCCCAAACGAGAGAGAAC